TTCCTTCCTTCCTTCCTTCCTTCCTTCCTTCCTTCCTTCCTTCCTTCCTTCCATTACAGAACACATAAGAAGCCATGGACATGAAGGAGAATTAGTCATTATTATGACTGATATAGGAGCATGACTGAGGAAACTTCATCTTAAACAGCATACACTGATTAGGAGTAAAAAGGCTTTTGCAGATATACTTTTAATCCTTGGATATTCTTTATAGAGGTAAGCATTCCAAATTTCTATCTCCTTGAATTCCAAATGATGATATGGTTTCTCTACTGTGATAGAAAAGGGATACTATTTTGGTGAGCATTTGTCAGGGGTCAAGGTTGTTGTTTTTTTTTAACTTGTTTGCTGGGGGGACAGATGTGGCTTTCTTACAAAGTCAGTATTAGTGCCACCTAAGCTGAACAAACTTTTTTCCTTTTTAGGTAATCATGAACCAAATAGCAACCCAACCCAACCTAATGAACCTAGAGCCTTATCCAGATTTAAATAGAAACACACCATTCTCTCAGATAATTTTTAACTCTGTCAAATCTCATTTGTATTTCAAACTGTCAGAATATTAGTGTAAGAAATTTAAACTTGCTACAGTTAAGGCAATGTGATTATTTGATGTATTTGATGTATATTTGATGTATAAATTCTCTGTGTATAATTTGAACCATTGCTTTTTCATTTACAAAAAAAATGGGAAATCTTAAATCATCATCAACACTTTCCTCCAAGTATTTTGACCATGATAATAAGATACAGCATGAGAACTTTGGATTATCCATCCATCCATCCATCCATCCATCCATCCTGGATGCATGACTCAATTCAAGATGAAATCACAGAATGAGAAATATTGATGTAATATAAACAATTGTATTATCTTTTTCAGTAGATGAAAAAAGGCTGTGAAGAAACTGGAGGGGAAAATTCAAATAAACACCACAGAATTTATACTTTTAGACTTTGGAAGTCTCCATGATATACAGATTCTTCTCTTTCTGTTTTTTCTCATGATTTACATTTTGACTATGGCTGGGAATCTTCTCATTGTTGTCCTAGTTGTGACTGATGAGCAATTGCATACCCCAATGTATTTTTTCCTTGGGAATCTATCTTTTTTGGAAATCTGCTATAGCTCCAACATCATCCCAAGAATGTTAGTCAGTTCTTTAACTGGTAATCATCACATTTCAGTAAATGGCTGTATTCTGCAGTTATGGATCTTTGGTTTCCTCATAGTTGCAGAATGTTACCTCCTGACAGTAATGTCTTATGATCGTTATGTGGCAATTTGCCGACCCCTACATTACACATTTTTTATTAATACTAAAGTTTGCCTCCAGCTAGTGGCTGGATCTTTCTTTAGCAGTTTTATAATGAGCATGATCATGTTAACATTTATATTGCAGTTAACGTTCTGTGACCACAGTGTGATTGATCATTTCTTTTGTGATTTCATTCCAGTTGTAAATGTTGCCCGTAGCAATGCATATCAGATAAAAATTATCTCATTTATCCTGACCTCGATATGTACCCTGCCACCATTTAGTATAACCATAGTATCGTATGCATTCATTATCAATGCCATTTTGAGAATCTCATCCACCAGAGGAAGGCGAAAGGCTTTTTCCACCTGTTCTTCTCATCTCATTGTGGTGACCATTTTCTATGGGACCATCGCTATTGTTTATCTTTTGTCAGATACCTCAGAACTACGAGAGCTAAACAAAGTCTTATCTGTCTTTTACACCATCCTAACACCTCTGGTCAATCCCCTCATATATAGTTTGAGAAATAAAGAGGTAAAGGAAGTCTTGAAGAAAGCAGTTGTCAAATATGGAATGAGCAGAAATATTCATTGAAATCTTTCTTTCATTTTTTTTAAACAACAGGAAAACATGTTTTTCCCTCATGAGGAAGTAATGTCTTTGAGCTGAATTCTATTGATACTGGAAATCAATCTCTCTTTTTGGGGACCCCTGTACTTTGGTTTAATCTGTCAGGTTAATGTAAGAATTACTAATAAACATGGGTGTAAATCTTCATAAGTATCGCAACGCGTTTGTACATTGCTAAATGTTTTGTTTGAGAAACGAAATTTAATCAAGGAAATATGCTTTCCTGATCAGGCAGATGGAGATTTGACCTTTTATTTTATTTTATTTTATTTTATTTTATTTTATTTTATTTTATTTTATTTTATTTTATTTTATTTTATTTTATTTTATTTTATTTTATTTTATTTTATTTTATTTTATTTTATTTTATTTTATTTTATTTTATTTTATTTTATTTTATTTTATTTTATTTTATTTTATTTTATTTTATTTTATTTTATTTTATTTTATTTTATATGTTATTTCTTTTTCTTTTTAAGAATAAGCACTGTGACTTTGATGGCATTCTTGTTGTCAAGATGCTTGTTATTGTTGTTGCATGCTCTCAAGTCAAAATTAGCAGTTTTTCACCTTAAGAACATGAAATTATAGTGGCCACTGTCTATTGATCAGGTAGGTAAAGGGCACAATGATCTATATCTCATCTTGAAGCAAGATCAGTATGAGATTATAATGGCCAGTCTTTCTACTTCAGGAAGCATCAGCAAGAGCAAAATGGTCTTTCTACTTTAAGTAAGCAACATCAGCATGGGGACACAATGGCATGGGCCATTATGAGCACTCCTTGATCTGCGCACATTACACCTCTGGTCTACGAGCTGCATTGGTTGCCAGTATGTTTCTGGGTTCAATCAAAGGTGCTGGTAGTTAACTATAAAGCCATGGGGCCAGGTTATTTGAGGGATCACCTTTCCCTGATTGTGTCTATTGATCCCATCAGATTTGACTGATGAGGCATATTATAGGTCCCATCTATTAAGGAGTGCCATCTGGTGTGATCCAGGAAGAAAGCCTGTTCTGTCATGGTACCTGCTTTTTGGAACATCATCCTCTGGATATTAGATTGGTCTTGACCCTGTTTTGTAAGTCCTTGAAGATGTAGCTATGTTACTGGGCCATGTATGGCCATCAGAACATTTAGCAGAGCCCATGGGATGGCTATATTGATGGGTGTTTGTGGTTTTACCCCAGCTGCCATTATATTTTTATTGGTGTAATGTGGACTACACTGGGTTTTACCTGCTGTTAGCCACCAAGAGTCACTATTATGAGATGGGTGGCTTAAAACAAACAAATGAACAAACCAATAAATAAATGATGTTTTAGACAATGCTAAACATTTGCCAAAAAGGTATTTGAAAAGGCATTAATGTGGGGGATATTTCTTGATTCTCTGCTTTCAGTGGAGACATGAGAGGAACTCAGGCTAATTAAAATGCTGGTCTTTGTTTTTAAAGCCCCAATATTAGGGCTTTGGGTCCACTTATGGCAATGGAAGATAGGCTGAGCAAACATGCTGCTGGTGGAAGACATATGTCCTGGACAAATGCACTCACATGTACAGAATTGGAAAAGTTGAATTAGTGTTTTTACTTTCCAGCCAAAAACATAGTTTCCCCCTGCTCATTTTCTTTCACATTTTCATATGGACCATATAGAGCCTTTATTCTCAATATGTTGTCTTTCTATTTCCTTTCCTTCTAATTTCAACACATGCTGGTAGGATAATTTAAATCTCTCCCCACTGCTTCTTCAAATCTCCTTGGACGTCTTTTCTCACATAAGTCAGCTCACTTCATATTTTTCACCTTTTGCTGATGGCAATCATCAAACTCAGAAGTGGTGCTAGTGAACACTTTAAATGGAGAAAAGGGGCACACACACAAATACATACATACAAACCTGTTTAGAGTATAGGTTGAGCCTGCTCAGTGGAGTTGTCCAATTTTCTGAGTGGGAGCTTACAAATCCAGAACAACATGGACATCAATCTATATTATGTCAAAAAAGCATCATGATGATTATGCTGACACAGGAGTTTTTCCACTTAAAATATGAATACTTCTGTGAGCTGAATTCTAGAGATTAGGCAGGAGAAGTTAAACTTCTTGGAATAAGCTCATTAAAATTTGTACACTGCCAGCAAAGAACACTCCCCCCAAAAATCAAAGACACAAGCTCACTGCATTTTAATGGTACGCTAGATAGCTCTGTCCGTTTAAGGCCATGGGATTTTCATACTGCATTAGTGAAACGTGTCTCAAGCAGTTCTTCAGAGGCAGAGTTCTGATTGTGGTTCAGAAGTATCAGGAATTTGTCACTTGTCTTGACTAAAATCAATTTAGTGCCATCAAATCAGTGTCAGCCAGTCAAGGAATTTCAACTGGTGGGATCTAGGAAGAGGGCCTTTTCTGCTGTGGCCCCCACTTTATGGAACAACCTACCTCCTGACGTGTGGCATGCGCCCACTCTCAAGGCCTTCAGGAAGAGTGTGAAATCCTGGCTATGCCAGATGGCCTGGGGGCTGCATGGGGGCTTACACCAGTGGAAGTGGCTAGCAGGGTAATTGATGTTACTCCCCATCATCTTGAATGTTTTTTAGTTTTTATGTATAGGGCTTGTTTCTGTAGTTTGACTTTTTAATTAATTAATTAAATTAATGATTGGGGGTATTTATTTTTTAACTGTTTGTGGCTTTTACTTTTATTGTGAGCCGCCTAGAGTCACCCACTGGGGGAGATGGGCAGCATACAAATTTAATAAATAAATAAATAAATAAATCAGCCCTGAGTAACCACATGGAGAGATTCCCTCCAGACAGCTGAAACCAAGAAGGACCATTTTGAAGACGGAGGTAATAATTGCCAAGCTGATAGCTGATAAAGAGTGAAAAGTAACGGAAAAAGTATGATAATGGTTCTATATAAGCATACTGAAGCCTTTCAGAGCATCAAGGAACATATATATTTCCTTCATATATAACTTTATCTGACCAATACCTTGTGTTGTGTTGTATTTTCAAATCAGTCCATAAACTGGAAATAATGCAGGACTGTTATATTAGTAGTCCTCAACTGAAGTAATATTTGAAAACATCCTAAGCATCAAATAATGGTGTGGGAAACCATGTGTAAACTTGGAATGGGAACTTCTTGAATTATTCATGACTGATTCCACTCTAGGTGTGACCTGGGAGGGAAGATGCTCTGCCTGCTGAATTTCTTCCTTAGGGAGCACATCCCCCATCAGTCTGTGCAACCAAGTTTATATTATATTGGCTTAGTCCAAAAATATTTTCTGGAAACAGAATATCAGAAGGCCTTTACACTACTATTTTAAAAAAAACTCATTTTGAACATTTCCCCTGTGGTTAATTAAGATGTAGATGCTCTTAAAATATTCTCCAGTAGTTATACTTAAATAAGAAGCTCCAGGCTTAAAACAAAGAGTTATCCATTATCAACATTATGGATCCTTAAGAATGACAGATAAGCCTGAACAACTTTATATCTAAGGAACATGATTTGAAAGACAAATTGAAGAGGCATTGCAAGTAGGCTTTATAGTTTTTAATGTTAGAATACTCCTGGATTAAAACTGCAAATCAGAGGTGAGTATTTTTCAATTTTCCATTCCTTTGGAAATGGTAATTCTGGTAAGAATTACCTGCCTGTGTTGGATACAAGATTATTCAAGATGTACAGAGCTTTTTGCAGGTATTTTTCTTTTCAGAGCTTTTGATGACAATGCCCTTTCAAAGAAAATGAGTACCCTGCTTTTAAACACCAGAAAGGAAAAGCTGGCCCACGTAGATCTCCACAATAACAAAGACTTCTGCACAAGGACAATATGTACTCACAAGCCCTTGCAGTCAAACTAAAGTGACAGACTGAGTTGAATCAGTCTTGCCTTTACTCCATAAGATAAAATAACTAGCCTCTGAAAAATGAAGTTCTACATCAAGGCGATTGCAGCCAATTCACATAATTCTATTTATTATTCCCACTCTTGGGGCATAAAGGTTAACTCACTGTGGTAGCTACATGCCAAGGAAGCCAAGGCTGCTATGCCCTGTAACTGTTTATGTAACATTGTTGTATTCCTTATTTACATCCTGCAATCAATACAGTTGTTAAAAGAAGGAAAGGGTTGATTTCTTACCGAGCTGTTCTGAGGACTTCAGTAGATTCCTTGACATCAATTGCCTTTCATTTATTCACCACAATCTACCTCTTTAGTGGACAAATAATCTATCTTAATAAGTCTGCATGCTTTTAAAATTCAGTGAGCCTTTTGTTAGAGGCTAGGATCTTCTAAAAGATCAGTGATCTGGGGATGCAATGCTTACAGTTATGCATCCATTTCCTCATACAGCATTATGCATACAATGAAATACATAACATGAGATATACTCTATAACCTTCATTAGCCTTGCCATCAGAGACAATAATATTTAACTTAATAATAGCGGGCAGTCATAGCATAATTGTGTATGATGGAGATTTTTAGAGAAAATTTTAATATAATTTATCAAAATATTTAGGGATGTTTAGAGGAGCAGTAAATATTTGACCTTTGTTTTAGGATTTTCAGCAGTAATTGGGCTTTTCCTGGTCAGATTCCTTTGCAAGTGGGAAATGCATGGACAAGGGACAGAGAAAATGTGTGTTGATTGATATTATCTTTTCTATTTGAAGTATATCAAGTGATAATGAAAAAGTTAGAAGGGAGAAATGAAACTGTTATTACGGAATTCATCCTTCATGGCTTTGGAGACCTGAAAGAGCTACACATTCTTCTGTTTATGCTGTTTCTACTAATCTATATTACGACCATGGCTGGGAACCTTCTCATTATTGCCCTGATTGTGACAGACCAGCACCTCCACACCCCAATGTACTTTTTCCTAGGCAATTTGTCTTGCTTAGAGACCTGCTACAGCTCAACCATTCTCCCTAGAATATTAGCCAGCCTACTAAATGAAAACTACACTGTATCTGTGAATGGTTGCATTCTGCAGTTATGGGCTTTTGTTTTCTTAGCTGTTACAGAATGCTATCTCCTGGCAGCAATGTCTTATGATCGTTACTTGGCAATATGTAGACCCCTGCATTATTCCACACTGATGAATTTCAAGATATGCCTCCAGTTAGTGGCTGGATCCTGGATTGGCAGTTTTGTGATAGATACAATATTGTTAACATTTATACTGAAGTTAAGCTTCTGTGGCCACAATTTGATAGAACATTTCTTCTGTGATTTCATTCCAATGATGAACCTGGCTTGCAGTGATGCAAGTCAGGTCAAACTTGTGTCAGCTATCCTAACTTCTGTCTCCACCCTACCACCATTCCTTTTAACTATAGTCTCATATGCTTACATCATTGCTGCCATTCTTGGAATTCCCTCCATCACTGGGAGGCAAAAGGCCTTTTCTACCTGCTCTTCTCACCTCATTGTAGTGACCATCTTCTATGGCAGTCTCACAGTTGTCTATCTTTTGCAAGACAGTAACGAACTGAAAGAATTGAACAAAGTCTTCTCGGTCTGTTACACAATTTTAACACCTCTGGTCAACCCTCTCATATACAGCCTGAGGAACAAAGAGGTGAGGGGAGCCCTGGGAAGGGCAGCCAGCAAACATACAACCTGCATAAGAATTCATTGAATTCTTGTTTTCACTTTCAGGGATACAAGTTATTCTCATTATATCATTAAACTCCTATTTTCCTATTAAATCAGCAGGACATTTCATGTGATTTGGGTTCTGCAGTTAAGCACTTTTAAGCCATTATATTAATTCAATAGGAAATAATGTAGGAAGGCTATTGACTTCAATATAGGGCTACTTCAGGAGAATAGGATGCTGCAAATGACCATCCTTGCACCAACCTACTTTAAAATAATAAGTGGAGGTTCATCTATAATTGTCATTTATAAGTATTGAGCTTGTGCCTTAAATATGGAATGAGTTTTCAAGGGAATAGAATGAACACTGACACTATATTACATTTAATGGCAGAAATATTTTGTGTAGTGAATGGTTTGTAATTGGAATATGAAGTCATTGTGAATGGCCTGACAATTGTGGTAAGGTGTGTTGGGTGTGTTGTTGATATATTTCGGTTTGGTGGCCAAAAACTTAAAGAAAAAGAATTTACATTTTTTTGAATTTCATAACAAATACATACTTTGGGATCTATAGGAGGAAAAAATATTGCCGCTTAGAGAAACTTCACAACTAAAAAAATAATTTCACATACTTAATTACAGAATTTCTATCTGGAGAGTTTATGATATGTTCATTGTATTGTATATATATCTAGTAGCAACATGAGAAGCAGGAATTACAGCTTCGTTCTATCATTCAATGTATCTGGAACAGATCTAGAATTAACAAAAGTCTCTGCACTCATTTGAGATTTTTTGAGAAGTAGGATATCCTCAAGACTGGAGCTGTGTCTGACCACTGCATCCATATCTTATGAGCAGACGACTTTTGTTTGTTCAATTATAGTACATTCATCACATTAAATCCAAATAAGATTGGTTGAGACATTTTTCTACAAAAATCCATTGGAAATAAGAAATGTCTCACTTAAGGCAACGAGGTATCCCAGATTTAAAATGGAAACAGAGCACCAAAGTGCTTTTTTTTAGTTCCACATTCCAGTAATGAAATGTTTTGCTTAGTGAGGGATTCATCCTTCCTCACAGAGTCATTCCATTTTTAACATTTTGAGAGATGGATCAAGATAGCCTGAAATAATCCTTCCCAGTGCTTTGATGGTTAACTCAAAGTTTTCTGCATATAGAGTGATCAGTGTTGTGGTATATTGTGCCTGTTGATTTAAGAACTCAGTTTAGTATTACCCCTTCTATATTAGCTGGTGGGTGTGGGTTTCATCTTGTGTTAGCTGGAGCCACTTCCATTGCGGTCCTCTCATGACATGCTTCATTTACTTGTTTGATTATTTATTTACTTAGTTTCCATCTCACCCTTCATTCAAGAGCTCAAGATGGCATGAATAGCACTCCCTCCTCCTATTTTTCCTCACTGTTAGGTAAGTTGGGTTGAGAGAGAGTGATTGGCCCAAAGTTGCTAAGTGAGCTTCCGTGGCCGAGAGTGGACTAGAATTGGGTCTCCTTGCTCCTAATCCAGCATCTTCACTGCTTGGGTAATGTTAGTTCCATCTTTCTTCTGCTATGTATAGCAGGAAAACTGCCTTTGCTGTAGCACATCTGAAAAGGGGGCAAAGAGATCACTTTGATCTCTGGCATTCTAAGCTACTCTACAATTCTGACAGGGAAGAAGGATCTACTGGAATTTTAATGATGCTTTTTCCTTCCTCTCATTTTTCTATGTGAGAAGGAATATCTGTTTCCTATCCTGAGTAGAAGTGGGCTTGCAGATACAAAGCATTAAATTGCTGCAGGCAAGATTTCACTTACAAAGGGACAATTCACAATATCCTTTATAAAGGAACCAGAGATCCTTTTTTATTCCCATGTCTGTCTTGTTTTAAAGTATGAAAAGGGTCTAAAAAGGAAAACAAAAACAGAAAGCTCAGTCAAAGTTACTTTAGAGAGTTTGGTTTGTTAATTACAATAAAAAGGAAGTCTTGAACAGGGGACTGACCTATCACCAATGTAAAAGGTTCTATCCAGTATCATAGCATGGGATAATTCTGTGTATTCCATTCATTTTCCTTCCTTCCTTCCTTCCTTCCTTCCTTCCTTC